CAAATATTTATTATACCCTGACGCACAATCGCATATAACTCGGGTGCCTATGAAATAAGGAAATTTCGATAAAGTACAAGGTATCCTGTAGGTAAAACCTATGTCTGTAAAAAGGAAGTTACTTTTGATTGGACGAGAGAAGAAAGCAGCATGACGTCGTTAGTCACCGTCCGCCATTTTGATCACATTCTGATTGATATTAATTAGTTCCAGCAATGAGTTTTTACAAAGAAACCGACTTTGTCTGTGTGAGTAGTGAGTCACGTTGTTGCTGTTGACGTTCCCTGTTTCATTTCATCCTCCTACATACACTGCACACTAATAACTGTAGCTACAAGCAGGAACACATTGCTCCGGTTGTTCATCCGGTCAGTGTAGGCCCGGGGATGGTCATGTACTGTTTAGAGGGGTATAGGGATTGGGAAAATGGGCAATGTCAGCAAGTTTGAGTCAAGTCTTACTACTGTCGCTCAAAGGTTGCTTGATCCAGGTTACAAATTTCAAGGCCTCAGTAAATGTTCAAAACGTTTTATGGCAGCCATGTGGAGTATATTTCCACATTTGACGCATCAGTGACAAAAATGATGTCCGATGCAATTTATTCCCAATATTGACTTGTACCATGTGTTCCCTTGGGTTTTTTAGGTGAACAATTGCCTTGCCTGTGCAGGTGTTTGTGGTGGGTGGGAACACCTGGTATCATCACAGTTTGATAGTGATCCATAGACACGTGCTTGTATTTCAAACACCTCCCTGTGTGTCGACAGGCTCACTTTTTATAATGTCTATCAATCTAACAGTACCCGTGAAGATCCGGGTTAGAATAGGTATTCAGCAACCCATGCTTGCCGTAAAAGGCGACTAACGGGATCGGGTGGTCAGGCTCGCTGACCTGGTTGGTTATTCCCTTGCGTTGATGTCTTATGTTAAAGAAAACACACCCTTAACGAGTCTTACGAAAGTATTTACAAGACTGTTCATGTGATCCTTTTTAATATTCAGGTATTTACCCAGCCGTGGAATAGCAGGAAAATGTGACGAAAATACAATATAATCTGTTCGAGATAAGTGAACTGACAATATTATCCTGTACACGATGTCACATGAAACATGATTAATACCGCTATCACTGTCACAGTAAACAGTTTCATGGATAAACAAAGCTACTGGGTCCTCGTTGAAATACCTCACATCTCTTCTGTCCACAAGCGCCTGTTTTATATGGTTTGTCCATAACATGTTTTGTAACTTCCTGGTTCCATGGCTGATTCCTCCGCCATGTGTTCAAGAAACCCACTACCTAAGAATAGCTTTATATTAAGTCAAACGTCTTCCTGCTTGCGTATTTGATATATTTGATTTTAAAGGTTTGATGGATTTCTGCAAAGCCGTGTGGTCTGAAAATAGTTTTAAAAACATATCTCCCACGTGAACTCACTTTGTGTTGGAAAGATATCAACCTTGTTGTATCATGGGTGTGCTATGAACAGTATACATGTATGCTCATCATGGTTTATAGCACTTGTACAGTATAGTATAGTTATTATGCTTATAATTATGATAGTTATAACATTTGTATCGCGTGAGTAATCCAGGATTGAATAGGCCCCATGCAATCTATGCTTGTCGTAAGAGGCGACCAAGTGGATCGGTTGACAGACTCGGTGACATGGTTGACTGGTTTCCATCGTACCCCGACGACGTGGGCAGTGCTCCTAATGTCAATCACAGGTTTGTCTGGTCCAGACTCGATTATTGATTTCTGTTTCGCTTTAAAAACAAATAAGCAATTTAACGTTTATACTGTATGTGATAAGCTGTTTCCGCGCGTATGTCATACATCAATCATAGTTGCCTCTGAAGTATATCATGGTCATAATACTTATTCAGTTTAGGATGTTTATAGGATTAATACAGTATAAGTGCTAATAGCACGTATTCTTTTTGTCAACGTTATTTTACATATACAGTATTTTGTTCATAACACTACCACTGTGTCAAAGGTATTCCATATAAGGAGAATATCGTGATTGTAGTGCACATATACTGCCGGTCAAAAAAAGTATACACTTGATAATTGGATTTTACTAAAACATTTAAAACGTTATTAGAACGTTACTAGGCTTCGTCGAAACACTGCAAACTCGTCCAAAACACAACTTTGATCAAGCACATCACAATCGAACAACGATTTCTTGTTTGTTTCATTTCAGCCACCATCAAACATGAGTGTATACTTCCTTTTGCCCGGCAGTGTACATTGTATACAGTCTATGTATAGTTTATCATGGTTAACCAGACAGTATATCATTATCGAACAGACAGATAGTGCACTATTAGTGGAAGACATATAGTCTACAATGAACATTCTGCTGTTCTTGTAACGTAGACACTTTTGTATAATGTCCTCTATTTTTAATACAATAATTAAAAGAATACCATATCGTTTTTACTTTCATAGGCAGATGTACAGAATATCGTTATTCCAATTCCAACTAAGACAATAGGTGTATATCATTTCAAGGGCATTTCCTTAAAAGGTATTGTAATAAAATGACATATGTTGCTGCTAATTATATCAAGTATTGACTACAATGCAACTATGTCACAATGGAACTATTTATGTCCTGATTAATTAATACTTTAGCTTTCCTTTGAAATGTGTTATTCATAATTCCCGAAAATCAAGCGGAAAGACATGTAATCACTTTCTTCTGCCCCGTTGCCGCCATATTACATTCAAAACGGAAGTTCAATTTGTAACATGCTGCCTTGTGTTGATGGCGGTCAGTGGTGTGCCAGAAACAAACACGCCCCTTCCGCAACACGGCCAGTTGATAATCTGTAATTATCGTTTGACGGGATGTATTATTGGTGGGGGCGTCTCTTAACCTGCTGTGAAACGTCATGCTAATGTGCCTCTGTTAATTAACCACTACCTGCTGACGTAGACCCTTCCTGAGGAGTGTTTTGCATGAACATTTTTTATTTCTGTGTACTGTATCTGGATAACCTACTTACTTACGCATGACTGTACGACGATTGATTTGTAAATGAAAGCGACAAAACCCTCTCCCTAATCATAAGTATTGTACTTTTCCGACTATATCATGAGCATGTGTTCATGAATAACTATCAAATACTGATGATACTATATGTTCGCTGAAAGGTATCCCCCGCCATCAGTGGCACCCGTCACAAACGCATGCAAAGACAAGTCAATTGTTCAAATAGGTGAGGTGAAATGGGGTTTAACGTCGCGTCCAAGATTATTGCACTTATATAGCGACGTGCATGCACGTGTATGTGTGTGGCTGCTTGTACTAGTCCGGACTGATGCCGATTTATTGTGCTAGCCCACAGAGATACCATGCCGCAGTTTAACATGAATACCCACCACAGAAACAGTATACTGACTCCGAGCCGACCAGTCCTTGTTTTAGCCCCTTAATGCCGAGCGCCAGACAGGGTAACAACAAGTACCATCTTTTAACGTCTTTTGGTATGACACTGTCGGGGATCGAACCTCGGACCTTCCGCTCTCCGGGCGGACGCTCTACCATTAGACCACGGAGGCGGTCTTTTCAAATAGGTCATATATGGTACAAGTCAAAATAGGGATTTGCATAGGACATGATGCTGTCACTGATGCGTCACATTTGGAAATGTCCTCCGCAAGTCGACCTTAAAACGTTTTGAAACTTTACTGAGGCCTTGAATGTTCTAACAACTTCTGAGGAAGAGTCGCACGGTGCTCTTTGAAATCTTCATAGAATGAGCATGGTCGATTGTACCTCAAAAGTTGTGAAATGTAGACACCAAAGGCTGGAGCTGCAGGAATATTGCTCGACATAAAGGGAAAGTTGACAATTGAAGTCACCCCTCTTGCCATCAAGTCTTATGGAAAGTATTGTGTCACCGAATATTTATGCATAGATCTAAATATGAAACAGATGCTCAAAATTTGTTTGATCAAAGTAACAACATTCGAGACCTCAGTAAAAGCTTAATGGTAGACATGTGGGGGACATTTCCAACTTCGACGCATCAGTGACAAACAATTCACTTTATTTACTTGTATCATATGTTCCCGTGTTTTTTCAGGTGAACAGTTGACTTCCCTTTGCATGTGTTTGTGACGGGTGCAACCGGTGGGGCAGGATACGCTCACCTTTTCGCAAACACCTTTTATCATCACTGTTTGATAATGATTCACAAACACACACTCATGATATAGTCGGAATCATAGAATAGCCTGTGCTTTTATCAGAGATTTCTTATGAATATGGAAAGAGTTTTATCGCTTATATTTGAATGTGTTTACATGAACCCATTTTTACAGTCGTGAATAACACTGATCTAATATGTGATATTAACTAATAATCAGCATCTTGGTGCTATTTCCCAGGATAGTAAATTCGCTGTTTACTAACCTTCTGGCCGCTGTTACTAATAACGTTAGTAGAATTCACTAGGCTTTTTTTCTTAGTGCGATCTTCGGTACTACCCCACCCTGAAGTACATGTGGTTTCTCCTTAGCCAAGTTCGAATTATGCTCCAGTTCACTCAGCAGTAAATGGGTACCCGGTAGGAAGAGATGGTAATGTGAATGTACCTTAGCACAGTTTGGGTTGTATATTCCCCAGGGAGGTGAGAATGAAAATATAATGGACGTATTATTATTATTATTATCCTGAAATGACAGCGTCTGTTGGTTGTTGTGTACAAATTTGACGGACCATGCTTTATTCATCGTAAAGACGACGTATTTTATCATTACGAAATAAGGCGACAGTCCTGTATTATGTTCAATCCCATTTCCTCTGTAACGACTCATGGCGTCTATACACCCCGCGCGTATTAAATAGGAAACCAGTTCCTGTAGCCAGAGCTGAGGGTACCAACAACGAAACCGGTACTTGTGGAGGTAACTGCCAATACCAACCAGGAAACCATGGCATTGGTTGTCTTCCAAGTTTCATAATCAACAAATACTTATGTTATTTTCACAATACTTTATTCACTGGCATAATAAACATTTCATGACAGTGTATAGTATTCAACAACAATGTTTTCGTACAATGGTAGGGTTCCACATAAAACTGTCAAGTACGGAATGACTAGCTTCATGCTGCTGGGTGTCGGAAATCGACAAGTCGGATCTGGTAATATTTAACTTATACAATACTGCAGGGTCGGGATATAACTGATATATACACATGTTCATATCAATCAGCAATAACAGAAATATAAATCGTGACAGATAGCCACATATACAGCGGATGAACGCGTGACCATGTGATACAATGGTAGTGATCCTAATATTGCGGTTGTCATGCTATGTACAAACGTGGTGCGTTTTGTTTACAGCTGAAATTTACAACTGAAATTTATAACACAGCTGAAATTGATAATGAATAGAATGCAAATGAGTTTAGTCAGGCATAGACCTGGACCCGTTGTGATCAAATTAAATTTTAATTTAAAAATTAATTTAGAATTGTTTTAATGTTTGTAAATAACCATCTTCATGACATTTATGAAAGTGTTATTCTAAAACTATTGCCGATTGATAAGACAATGTCACGTTATTGCTAAAGAAACTACAAGTCTCTTGTCTCGAATACACTACTTTCATTTTAAACTGAAAGATGGCGAAACTTTTAAATACCTACTCTATCATTGCACAATAACTTATTAAAATTGCAAAAAATACTTGTCTTGTCAAATATTAGGGTAACTGCGATTGTTACCTACGTTCGTTGAGGTTTCTAACTAATAATCTACATTTGGTTCATGTATCTACAACATATGCATCTAAAATAGATGACAGGTCAAATAAATTAAGCATATATGCTTGTAATAACAGTCCACGCCTTCAATAAAGAGTCATAAGCTTGAGTTCGAATATCAGAACTCTTCAGTCTTTGAGGGGTGTTTGTCATGAGCACTCTGGTTCCCTGATTCACCACCAGGTGGAGGGTCAAACATTCGGAACGTCTCGGTGGATTTCGGTCGTCGAGTAGTGTAGCTATTAGAATCAGCCGAGGTGTTCCGAATGGGGTCAAACATGGATGAAATCACGTTCTGGCAGTCAAAAATGTCTGTATGATCACACTGTCACTTATACTCTTATTTCAACATCGCATGATGGCTCGTGGATACCAGAGTCAAATGAATTCTGTTCGCTGTGACAGATGAATGAACTGCCATTCATTAAACATTGAGAGTCCAACTTTTTGCTCTTTTCGTATAGATTGCTGTTGTTGCACACTTTGTTGAGATTGATCTGTTGCCTTGACGACGTGCATCGCGGGGGGTAATCATTGTCCGTATTCGAGTTTCCTTCGAGGGAGAGGTTGGAGGGGGAGGGATATTTCGTGGGCACATCACTGTCCGATTCGTACATTTCCGTTTCTGAGACTGACCAATCACTGCCTTCCATATCACACGAGCTGGTTTGAAGGTCGCCTTTGCTGTAGTAATACTTTCTCTGCCATTTCAGATCTTCGATCGTCTCGTTCAGTGTAAGGAGCTGTTTCATCAGCGACAGGTCCTGATCCATAAGCGACGCCTACAAAACAAAGAGGGTATAATTAGTATTGAGTGATGACATTCGATATGTAACATTGAAATATATCCGACATATTCGACTGTATTGCAACTTAAATCCTAAAAGTCAAGTTTTTATCATTTACATATTTCTTTTAGATTTTACTGGGTGTATATGTAAAAAAATCACAAATTATATCCAAACTCATGGAATAGTAAATTAATGCATGTGAATTAATTTAAGTCTTATATCTAAACACTCACATACACGTACACCAATAAATATCTTATTTAACAGTAATAAATACCAATTCGTGTTCCAAAATACTATTTTTACAATAATATTCACACCACACGCAAACAGTTGATTATATTCGCTAATATCCGGGTTACGGTTAGCGATCTATTGTTCAGTATGTACCAATGCTGTATGGGGTTTCATGTCCTTACAAGTTATTGACATCAATCAATTTCTTAGAAACACATGTCACTCGTCGCTATCAACAAATTAGCACGGGATTCCCATGTAGTCCCGCTCAGTGTTGACAGGCGTGAGTCACCACCACCACAAGGCCTCGCGGCCGTCTCTACCTCTATATAAATTGCCTTTTCAACACAATAACTTAACTTTTGAGATAAGCTTTAACAGGCCGCACTTTACATTTCACTTAATAAAAGCGCAACAGCACGACCTAAGAACAGGTCAGAAGTCCATGGCGATTTCTTTGAATCTTTGTAGTTCAATGTGAGCACCCTTGAGTTAATCCCGTGTAATATTGGATAAGAGTTAGATCCCTTCTACTAGACAGGATAAACTATGTGAGGAAAGGTTATCTTGTTGGCAAGGACCAAAGAGCCAGGTTCGTGCTTCTCCAAGCCATTGGGGACTTGGAACGGATCCACATTTCCCCGAATTAAAAGATTTCGATTTCCCTGTGACATGTCTATGCCAGATGATTTCTTATCAATACAAGATTATCCTAAACTCGAAGTGATCGTTTTTATTGAATGAGCCCTTGGTTTAACATAGCATAGCTCTTGAAATAAAAACACGAACCTGAGTAAAAACATGTACTCCTGAATATATTTGAGTATCTTTCATAGTACTTGTGTGTGAGTGAGTAGGTGTTACGCCGCTTTCAGCAATATTCCAGCAATGGTGCCAGGAATTGCTTTCACACCTTGTATCCATGTGAAGAAGCGAACCCCTGATGAGCGAATACTCCCCATTGGGCTACCCCACCGCCCCTGATCACAGTCAGAGACATGGCGACTTACCGGGGACGATCAATGTGTTAACAGTGACTCAGAACAACTGTTCATTGCGTCATATGGTCTTAAATTTGCTTTCATGTTTGGATAAATGTACAGCTTTTTCGGTCAGTAAACATGGTTTCAAACATTTAATCCTCAACTTATTATATTATTCTCTAATATTACACAGCAGTAATACGACAATGAAATAATTCTCCCAAATTGCAATGCCCCGCAGACAGGATTAGGAAGCTGCGTCTGAATAACGCATTACCACTCCAGGTATTTTCTACATACAGCCTACCCTATATTTACATATCACCTGCGGCGGATGGAACTTGGGTGTACAAATATGCTTTCGTCCATGTAAGAAAATTTTTTTCAACATCAGTCAAGCATACTACTGAACAGAACGCCTACTGTGTCCTCCCCAGTCGTTATCTCTACCCGTGAACACACCATATGAGGCCATTTCACGGTGGCTTGAAGTGACACTATGAAAAAGGGAATTCCAGAGCTATCCCATTTGATATGGCACTGGTTATGAAATAGATGCTACGTCCCCCATGGTTTGTGCACATATACTGATGTTCTTACGGTGATGAGTTTATCACTGAAAGCACCACGTGTTTAATGTAGTGAGAGGACGTGGATCGCCGTTTAACCCTATGCTGAGGAGATATATTACACCAACTTAAATACATTCCGGTAATCGGTGCAGAAACCTCCAACTACCAAGGAGTCATTGTCCGGGGGATCTATCTACCATATATAATTACACATTCCCAAGATAGTTGAGTTTTATCCGCATCAGAGGATCTCACCTTTAACAATATACATTCGAGAGGGTGAAATCTGAGAATGTGCTGACGTAGTAGTTTTTTTATGGCGTGTAGAGGTCCGGTGATATCAAACACATATATATCCGACCTCGTGCAACAAATTATGCAGGAGGGGAGTGTTGGCACGTGACCTTCAGGGCTGTGTTCTTAGAGGGAATGTTTGATGTCAGGGTCAAGGCAATGACGAGCATCTTTGCGCCGGTTTCAGAGGCAGCTTGATCTTTCGGAGCATAGCTTTTACCATATCTTATCTTTTCTTGATTAAACCCTTAGTGTGGAAATCTGGTTTACATTAACGAACATTCCATGTAACCGATGACACCATTTATCAAATCATTTTTAAGGACTCTGTACATAAGAGATTATTCTTGCATTAGATATACATGTACCCTAGTTTCTTGGATATTTCTAGCCGGTATCTAGCGTTCTTAAGTAGTTGCAAGAGTCCAGATAAACAGATCATTAAAAACTACCACGCACTCCCCGAGGTCTAAGAAGACACAGATGAATCTAAATTCACAAATATCTGAGATAAAAGAGCCAATTTTGTATTTTATCGTTCCATGGCGTACCAACAGGTTACCTTTTGAAAGACCCTTTTGACGTCATAGCACACAACGTCACGAACCTTTCAACATCTTGAAAGAGGGAATGCTTTATCGTATGCCTTAATTAATGTTTCATATATTCGTTACCATATTATCTATATCACCACCGTTGTGATTAGATCATGACTCACACAGCCCGAGCCAGAATAGCATACTGATCAGACGAAAGCGTGATCTTGTGACAAGGCTGTGACGGTAGCCACGGTACCACCGCTATACAAGTGTTATTTCTATAAAAAGTATTAAACATGCACGTTGAGTGCCTACTATAGACACCCATGTTGAACACATATCAAATATCTGCCTAACATAACCATCTCATTCAATGCTTCTCTGTGCAGCGCGTGTCAAGTGCGTTCAAGATGGCGACCAGCGGTGCAAATGACGTTAGTACCACTCCACCGTCGTCGCTGTATACACGAATACGACAACGATAAACATAGGACTAGAATGAGAGGTAGATGGGAGGGTCAAGTACGTATATCATATTACATAACATCCATTAGTCGCACCAGGACGCGAGACGAACGGTTTGGGGAAAGAAAATAACGTTGGACAGAACGTAGGAGGTGTGTCCATGGGAATAAGTGAAAACATGTCGAGTGTTGATGGTGAGATTTATAGTGTCAGTGAGTCATAGCTTGTTAGAAGGTTTTTACCTGTGATGATATTGCACTTTGTTGCGGTTTGAATGGCATACTGTTCAATGTTGCCCAAGGATCCTTGAAAGACCCTTGAAACTGTCAAGCGATTGCGCAGGTGACGGATAATTTAACATCGAAAGGGTTCTGTTTGCTTAGCCCAGTAATGTAAATTTAACCATGGCTGTTACTTGTGAAACAGATCCATATGATAAGAAAGTCGTTTTAAATAGCGCAAATTACTTTAGAAATACGTTGGTGGCACGTTGAACACAAGAACAAATATTAACTTTAAAAGAAACTCATTATGTCGATACAAACTTCATAAAGACTGCATTTGTTGGTTGATACGATACAAAGTAATGATCTGAAGAGGGTTTATATAAGTTTTTGCATTAGTGAGTGAGTTGGATTGTACGCCGCTTTAATTCAGCAATATCATGGCGGGGGACACCGCACGTTTTTGCAGTAATCTAATAAGTATCTATCCGCTGTTGTCAAACTGTCAGCGTGAAAAAGATATATTTTCTAACGGCCTTCAATGCAACCACACCAGAAAAGAGGGTCATATTAGGCAAATGGATATATCGTCATCTCAATGTTATTTGTTTGTTAATCTAAAAGTTAACTGTCTTCATTGGTACTCTAACTATTTTAAAGACTTCATACTGTATAGTCTGCGTGATACATTGAATTGTTTCTGCTTATTATGGCCCAAATAGTCCTTAGTCATCGGACTTTATGACCGACTTGGTGTCTCTGGATTTTCAAGGTGAAATAAATTGGCAGTAAACCACTGCATTAAATCTGCCTCGTGTCGCTGAATTTATGACAGGAAAATAAACGCGGCGCTTGACTACAACCAAGCAACAAAAGATGGATTAGGGGAATAGCACCTTGACCAAGACTGTAGCTATGTAGACTCCGCCGTCTTTCTCGTTTTGCCCTCACGAGATTACCTCGCGACTTACAAATGACCAGGGCCACGTTTAAAGAGAAAGGTCTGAACAATAAATGTCATAAACTGGACAGGTCACAGTGACTACGGCCATAGTGGCGTTTCTCTGCAGGTGGTAAGCAAGGATCATATGTAGTGAAATATAGCATATACTCAAATAAGGAATAAAACGTGACATCTTTAAAGTGCTGAGTCAGCTAAAAATTCATTTGCCCCCTTAATATGTATGCAGTGTTTAACTTACAATATTTTAAGTTTATGGTTCAAATCAAGCGTTTATTATTCCACTTGGGGTCATATTTGCTGTTGTGTGTTTGAGATTTGGAATAAGAGTACGATTAAGTCATAAACATATTTGTTTGCATTAATGATTTTTTACTATATATTTTTCTGTCCGCGCGGAGAGGCAACCTCTAGTTGAACCTTTTGAAAATCTGGAGCATGCTAAACCACGTGTGTCGGGTTAGTTGTAATTAATCCCATGGCGAGAGAACCATTGGTACAAGATCTACATCAACATGCAATCAACGTCCCCTTATTTATCTCCCAAATATCACAGAGCGGTCCGATCCCTGGCACTGCCTCCCTCGTACAGGCCCGGCCTCGGTCAAGACTGACCACTGGTTAGTGGCGACCACTATCTGGCTACTAGATGGGTACGGCAGGTGATGTAGGGGCATGGTACGGGATTTCACTGTTTACACGGGATGCTCTGTCTG